GTCGACTGCCCATACACTAAATTTCAAGTCCAATATTTTTCAAGATTTTGTACAAGATTTTTAGATAATTCCTTAAATTTTCAATTTTACTTCTATAATTAAAATTTTGTGAAATTTAGCCTCACAACTATGTTGACTACAATTCTATCTTCACCCCTGATTTCACAGCTATAGTACAACTTCCATACTGCTTCGACTGTCCTATCTTCAGATCCGCACCAATCTCTTATTACAATTAGAACCTTTTTATACGTACACAGAAGGTTAAAACCTTGCTAAACGTACACGAGCATGTCAACCGTCCGTATACAAATAGCAAAATTCTTACAAATATCAGTCCAAGACAATAGAGTTTGAAAAGTCAAAATGGGGCCATGACTATGTCCAGGAATTCTACCGAATTAATGCAGCTACTGTTGTTGGAACGTAAAGTTCACCAAATAATGCTATTTTCTCCGAAGAATCTGGTCAAATACAGTGACAGAAGACTTCGTGACAAGATGTGATTTGGTGAAAAAGTTAACTATGTTTAAAACATTTCAATGATAATGTCTTGTGATATTATTTCAAAATTTCTATTTATATAGCATGATTGAATTGTATAAGTATCAAGTGAGTTTTGCATAGAAGTTCGGAATTATTTAAGTTTTTTATTTGTCAAGAGTTGTTAAAAGATTACTTATTTTAATAGTACAGCAAGAATTACTTATTTTACAAGATTATGGCATCCATAGACATTTAGACACGAGTTCTTGTTCTAGAAATTATAATAGTCGCTTACGTTGATGTAATTTTCATTTCCAGCCACGACTTTTTTCTTGACATTATCTTAAAACATTTTATTTCTAGGTAAAAGTGATACGTGGAGAAAGATCCGGTTTAAAAATGCTTTTAAGTTACTGTGAAAACACCTTCACCTTCCCCTTTAATCCTCGCGGCCCCATCCCAACAACCATCCGGCCACCGCCAACCACCGCATTGCTCCACCCCAAAAAAATATGTTCTTCTCCCATTTTATACAAAGAACTAGCAATTTAACTTTATGGTTGTTAATAATTATTGCTCTCTTGTGACTTTGGTAACAACATTGAACATCAAAGAAATTATAGAAAAAGAAACTGAAAAAACCTTAAAATGAGCATCACTGCATAAAACTTATTCACTAATTTACTCAATCATTCAACAGTATATTATCATTCATCAATACGTTTAGTACACATCATAAGACACACAAGTGTAGACAATACAATAAATAAGATTCAAATTCGTTTAATTCATAATCCCGACCAAACATGCACTAAGCGCAGGAGCAGCAGCAGATATCCAAGCAGCACTCACAAGTCTCGTAGCAAAGGAAACAGCAACAAAGAGCAAACAGGCTGGAAATTACAATCAAATAATATGTATAAAGCAGAGTTTTAATCCAAAAAATAGTGAAATTAATCAAAAAAAGTGATTATAAAGGTACAAACCAAGCATAAAGATGGCCCTTTTCCTCCCTGCGTCTTTGAATATGATCAAAGTATGACATTTCTTGATATCCTGGAGGAGCATACATTTTTAGTCAACGCTGGTTTCTAATGGTGAAAGCAAGAAAAAGTGAGGGCATCATAAAGAAAATTATGGGTACATATATAGGGTGAAATTTTGCATCAACGGCTCAGATTTAGTCATATGGTCTCCATTTAAACTTAATTACTAAGTAACGGGTTAAATGGACAGAAGGTCACCCAACTGTGAGAGAAGTTTCATCTGGGGCACTCATCTTCAATTTGATATAATCAAGTCACCCAACTTATAGTCATTTGCAAATCTGGTCACTTCGTCTACCGTTGTCGGCTAAACTAATGCAATGAAAAAAGTTAACTATGTTTAAAACATTTCAATGATAATGTCTTGTGATATTATTTCAAAATTTCTATTTATATAGCATGATTGAATTGTATAAGTATCAAAATTACTGTCGTCCAAAAAGAAATTAACATTGAGCTTCATTTTTTCAAGAACGCATTTTTTTTAAATCTTATTTTCAATCACACATCCTCCCATAAAATAATTATAAATGTATTTTAAAAAAAATAAAACTCACTTTTTAATTTCGCATTCTCCAAAAATCATCATTATGTAATACATTTTACCAAAAAATGGGAATGGTGCTTGACACAACAGGAACTGGGCTGATTGTGAGTTTTGCATGGAAGTTCGGAATTATTTAAGTTTTTTATTTGTCAAGAGTTGTTAAAAGATTACTTATTTTAATAGTACAGCAAGAATTACTTATTTTACAAGATTATGGCATCCATAGACATTTAGACACGAGTTCTTGTTCTAGAAATTATAATAGTCGCTTACGTTGATGTAATTTTCATTTCCAGCCACGACTTTTTTCTTGACATTATCTTAAAACATTTTATTTCTAGGTAAAAGTGATACGTGGAGAAAGATCCGGTTTAAAAATGCTTTTAAGTTACTGTGAAAACACCTTCACCTTCCCCTTTAATCCTCGCGGCCCCATCCCAACAACCATCCGGCCACCGCCAACCACCGCATTGCTCCACCCCAAAAAATATGTTCTTCTCCCATTTTATACAAAGAACTAGCAATTTAACTTTATGGTTGTTAATAATTATTGCTCTCTTGTGACTTTGGTAACAACATTGAACATCAAAGAAATTATAGAAAAAGAAACTGAAAAAACCTTAAAATGAGCATCACTGCATAAAACTTATTCACTAATTTACTCAATCATTCAACAGTATATTATCATTCATCAATACGTTTAGTACACATCATAAGACACACAAGTGTAGACAATACAATAAATAAGATTCAAATTCGTTTAATTCATAATCCCGACCAAACATGCACTAAGCGCAGGAGCAGCAGCAGATATCCAAGCAGCACTCACAAGTCTCGTAGCAAAGGAAACAGCAACAAAGAGCAAACAGGCTGGAAATTACAATCAAATAATATGTATAAAGCAGAGTTTTAATCCAAAAAATAGTGAAATTAATCAAAAAAAGTGATTATAAAGGTACAAACCAAGCATAAAGATGGCCCTTTTCCTCCCTGCGTCTTTGAATATGATCAAAGTATGACATTTCTTGATATCCTGGAGGAGCATACATTTTTAGTCAACGCTGGTTTCTAATGGTGAAAGCAAGAAAAAGTGAGGGCATCATAAAGAAAATTATGGGTACATATATAGGGTGAAATTTTGCATCAACGGCTCAGATTTAGTCATATGGTCTCCATTTAAACTTAATTACTAAGTAACGGGTTAAATGGACAGAAGGTCACCCAACTGTGAGAGAAGTTTCATCTGGGGCACTCATCTTCAATTTGATATAATCAAGTCACCCAACTTATATTCATTTGCAAATCTGGTCACTTCGTCTACCGTTGTCGGCTAAACTAATGCAATGACGTTAAAATTACTGGACAATTGACGTATAAAAACTTGCTTTAAGTTCATAATTTTTTTATTTATTTAGAAAAAAAGAGTTTTTAAGATGGGCGTGATTTTGTGTGACGTCAATATACACATCTATCATCTATTAATTTGGAGGGAGGAATTAATATTTTATTGGTCCCAAATTAGTAATTATTCATAAATGTATGACAAGGTATGACAGCACAAACTCAACATCATATGCCAGATATTTTGTGCATTGAGACACTGGCGTTCTGCATGTCCTCAACGGTTAACTTTTTACCGTGGTTTAATTTAGTTGCCAGTTAAAAAAAAAAAAGGTTAAACCTTAATCTTAAGGGTCCCCTACCATCCCTGTCCTGGAGCATCGTGAGGGAGATAAATCGCAGGTTATGCCTCTAAGGGTACAAGGTGGAAGGCTGTTTGTACACTTGCACTTATCCAAGAGCCAAATTCATATTTCAGGATTCGAACTCTTGACGCAACAGCCTCAAGTAAAGCTGGATTTCTCCATCCTCCCCTTTTACCACTTGAAGATGTGCCCTGGGGGCACTTTAGTTGCCAGTTAGTTTATATGAAACGACACGCTCCAAGTTTAGATGGCCCGTCTGGCTTAAAGTATGACTTTAATTTTTCAACTTACTTGAGTAATTAATTGTTTATTCAATATTGTAGTTAAGCATGATATTATTTCATGATATTATTTTCTAATGTTATCAAAGAAGTTTGGGTAACTTTATCAACAAGAAACCCACTAGCTATTTTACATGTAAGTTTTAACTCTTAGTTAATACAAGAATATTGCTTTCCTTCCAAAATAAAAATTAAAAAATTAAAAATAAAAAAAAAAAAGTTAAAAAAAAAATCCTAGAAAAGGAAAGTAGATGTAGAATGCAATAAATTTGGCTTGGGTCCGTAAAATTCAATTCGGGCTAATGAATGCAACAATCTGTGGGCTCAGTCCATTTATATTTCAATTATGCACTAGTTATTTAGCCCTTGTTTGCCCCCATTTTCTGAAAATGAAAATGGGGGAATAGTATTATTTTTAAAAATGAGTGGTTGAAAAAGAAGGAAAAGTGTTCGATTTACGTGTAATATTTTTCATAAAAGATTATGTGGTTGAAAATAGGAGAGAGAAAAATGTAATATAATATAATTTAATGAGGGCCAAACGGAGGCTTAATAACGTACCTAACTTTTCTACTCGTTTCATTTTCTTCTATTAGAAAAACTTTATTCATTACTCTATTCCAATTTTTATTATTATTATTATTTATTTTTTTTAACTGGAACCCAATTTAAAGTCTTTTCGAATTTCATTCATCTCTCTATACGAATCAATATTAATATTCTTTTCAAAGATGCAAATTAATAAACTATAACACATGGTGTACGGATTCAATATAGAAATTTACTAAAATAAATTATTAGTCATCTTTTCGTGTGCTATATATCGAATCCCGAACAAATCAATAATTTATTTTTTTATATATATAATTTTCTCACCAAAGAAAAATAACAAACCCGTGAACCGGTCAACGGTTCAATGTTTAAAAATCACACAGAATCTCAGTTGAAATTAATTTTAGTAAGATTAGGCGGAAGACAGCTAGAATTTTGTCTTGAAATTGTTAAACTATTATTTTCATCCATTTCGAGGTGCAAATTATTTAGCGATATATTGTATTTATTGACTGATATTGCATATTTTATATAATATTTTCTTCTTTTAAAAACAATATTAGCAATATTTAAGCCTGCACATAGCCTAGATCTAGAGCACTTGTTTAAATTATTTCAAACATTGTAATTGTGTAAATTTATTTTATTTGACCCTAATAAATGCCAAAAGCTACTTGTTTTCTAACATAATTTTTTTTAATTTCAAACTTTTTTTTTTTAAGTTCGTCATCAAATTTAGTTTTTTATTATAGATCATTTCACGCTTGTTAATCAGATTGACGATTGGTGTTACAATCTAATATGCCCGATGAGCGAAAATAGACAAAAGGATCAAATTGTAATAAAGTTTAATTAAGTTCTCTTACCATTCTACATAAAATAAAATTTTGTGTTTTGATATGAAACGTTGTGATAATCGGAGAATTTAACCCGATATTGAAGACTTCTATGAATTATTTTATAACCCCAACAGATTGATTTGTGGAGTTTGTTTACTAGAAATCTTTTTGATCGATAAAATTTATCAACTTGTCTTCTTAATAATGTAGACTTTACAATATTTTAAACAACGATAATAGAGAAGGGAAATCAACTTTTTTTACCGTCAAATGTGATAAGGTCCCCTCAACAAATTGTTTTAATAAATTGACATTGATGTAGTAATTTGTGAGTTGTCACTTGTTGATGGCCTCAAGCAATAACTCATTTCAGTGTAGTTATTTCAATTCAGTTGATCCTCATTCAAGTTGAGCAAATGCTACCGATATGCTCAAATTTCATCCAAATTCCAAAATTCAATGCACTGGAAAATGTCTGTCCGATTTCAGTTCATATTAAAGAATTAAGCTAAATGTACATCGTTGTTGACAGCTTGGATGACATCCTCGTCTATGTGGAGGAAATATGTACAGTGATGTGATGGATGGATTAAAAATCAAGAGTGTAAATCTTGTCACGTGGAAGAGTGTAAAGAAAGGTGTATAAAAGAGTGTACATATAGCATGATGTTTTTAAATACGAATAAATGTGTTTTTTTTTTTTTTTTTTTAAGATTCAGGGTCGAGTACATGAATTTGCTTTTATTACTCTGATGTACTCCTCGATCTCTTTATCTTCTTTTCAGGTTTTTTCTAAAGAACTCAAAATATTTATTTTAGGAAGAAAGGAGAGAAATGAAAAAAATTTTTAATTACAACTGAAGTTGGCAGTTTTACCATACACCCCATCTTTCTTTCGCCATAAAAACAAAATGTTCCTGTTAATAAATAAAACCATACAAAAAGCATTAGTATATAGACAAAGACAAAAAGAAATCGACAAGCATCTAGCTTAGCCAACCCTGGATTAGCTATGTGATTTGATTACACTACTACAACTAAAAAGTACAAATTTAACTACTCAACACAAAATATTAATAGGATTCAAGTGCTTTGTAAATCACCACAAAGCATGGTAAAATAGCTCTTGGATTAAACACATATAATTCCTCGAGATTCGAGTAGATATTGCCACAGCTAGCTACGGAATCGTATGAACCGCCATTTGACAAGTCAACTCCATCCCCTTCCTCAATCATCACAACATCCGTAGCATGTTTCACCCTCCCAGCAATAACACGACACACCAACATTGCTCGACGTCCATCTTTGCAGCCAAGGCAATCGTGGGCTCTACCACTACTAGCAGTTGTCCGAATCCCACTCGCCTTGCTACTTTGAAAGCCGTGTCTAATAATAGTGCATACGCCACAACCTGGCAAAACGCCACACAAGCTAGAAGAGCCACGTGCACCAAGCGAGCAATTTAGTGTGACGCAGTAAAACCTCAATAACTCGTTCCCATCAGCAGCACACCTAGCATTTTTCTTGGCATTGTTATTGGCACGAATCTTGACCGCATCCCTATAATCTTCAAACCTTTGGATCGTACGCCGTGTATTGTGAACCTTTAGGATCCGTTCGATCTTGCATATTGGATTGTCCTTTTTGAGCCAGCTTGATTTGAAAATTATCTCAACTATGTTGCGGCTTGAATCATCTTGGGCCAGCTCAGACACTATAAAATTCTCAACAAAAATAACCATCAAACTGTTATCAATGAAGTTACAAAATCAGTCTTTATTATATTAAGGAGTGATTTACAAGAAAATGATATAGATTTAATTTGGTTATCTTTTTGTCGGTGAGGTACCTAATATGCAATGTAAAGTAGACAAATAAAGACATAACTTTTAATGTTCTATATTTTCTAGATTTCATGAAGTGAGAAAGAAAGGAAAGCAATCTTATATTAAATTGAAGCATAATGCCGTTTTGCCTGCATTAACAATTTCGAACTTCAAAATTTTCAAATCATTTTTCTTTTGCATTTTAAAAACAAAAAGAAATTATTCATAAAACTTTAAATATTAACTTCGATTACTGCATGTTTTGATGTATTAGATTCAACACGAATCAACATAATTAAAAAAAAAAAAAAAAAGGAATCTTGCAACAAAATTTGATCGGTAGTCTTAAAAAATCATAGCTTATGAGTAGATGATTAAATTTTGTAAAAATATTAGTAAAGGAGATGTACCTGCATGCTTAACCATTTGATGATGTTCCATGCTTTCAATTTTTGGGAAGACCTCTCCACATTCAGAGCAAGCACATATAGTCGTCCTCGGCAATGGATACCTATAAGCCAAAAAAAAAAAAAAAAAAAAAAAAAAAAAAAAAAAAACAGTTTATTTATTTTCAAGATTGACCAAGGAAAAAATAACTTATCTACAGTCTACTTGAATAATGCTATCTAACACCAACAATGTTAGACCACTAGTTTAAGTGACTATATTTTAAAAGTTCAATTAAATTAGTATTTTGGCTTTACATTTAAATGAATATATCATTTAATGACATCAATCTACTTATTTACTTAAAAGTAAGTTTTTACGCAGCCAAGTCTTTCTCACAAAGTACACACACACACACAAATTCTAGTAAGAAGTTTCAAGTCAAAACAGTGATTACCTGGTAGGATCAACAATGGCATGACATTCATAACACCCTGAAAGCTTCCTCAATTGCATGCCTCTAGATGAGCCCATATTACATGTAGTTTTCACAGAATTAGAAGAATAAATCGACCTAGAAGAGGAGGATCCATTTCCATGGCTACTTTTCTTGGTTTCCTTTCCTAAACTGCTTCCCTCCGGTGAGTTATCAGCTCTGTGAACAACCCTAGTGTTTCCATGAACAACATCCCTGAATGTGCAGATGGAATTGCATGAATTTCCCAGTTTGGAAACTGTAAGGAGGCTCTTGGAGGAAGGATCGTGGATTTTCGAATCTGGGATTTGCTTGCAGCTTAAAATGTTCTTGATTTGGTCCCATGAAGAAAAAGAAGAAGGATTTGGCTGCTTTTTCTTGCGTTTGGATGGTTGTTTTTGGGTATCCATTGGCATGAGGAGTGCCATGAAAAGGAGTGCAATGAGATGGAAGACAAGTGCTGCTAAAGAAGTTCTCACTTTCATAGGGCACACACACAAATGGAGAGAGAGAGAGAGAGAGAGAGAGAGGGTGTTAAGTTTTGAGAATTTCTTTCTTTAATGAAGAATGGGAGGGATCCAAGATTAAGTAGAAGTTGGAGACTTTATTAATGATTCCATTTGATAGTAATTAATAAGCATGATGCCTTTGTCTTATATACCAATGCTCAAACTTATGCTACTTTTAAGCTAAGATCGAGTTTGTTCAACGCGGCCTTAATGTCTAGAGTTTTAGTTTTATGGTTATTAGAGAGGTGAAAACATATCAATGGACTAGATTTGTTAATTCAGTTTAGAAACGAGCAATGCCTTGTACTAGGACGTGCCTTTACGGTTGGGTCATGTCATTCAACTACTAAGATCTCAATCAACGTCAACCTCCTTTCGAAAATACAGAAAAGAAACTATGCAGTACGAGAAGATATAAAAAAATTGTGAGGAATAACTTTTAATTTTTAATTATAATTATAAAATTAGTCTTCTTCAATAATGAAACCATCAGATGTTGATATTTCCATTTATTCTAATGGAGTTGTTAAATTGGATCACTCCCTATTTTGGAGGGTACTCATTGTTGACATGTAAGCACTAAGAAAGGCATCCATATTGACAAAGGGAAACAAAAGGAAAAGAGCCCAAATTGCATCTTCCATTTTCTTATTATTATCCATTTGTTGCACCAAATGTGTAATATGTAGTTGCATTTGAAATAGAACGTGCACTTTTCACTAGCTAATTTTGTTCAATACAATTGTATTGCCGTCAAGATTATTATCATTAGTATAAAGTTTTAATTTTCTTTTCTTTTCTTTTTTTTATAACATTTTCAATTTTTATTTTTTTGATCTCTAGATACTTTGTCATGAGATTTATTATGGAAGACTTATTGTGGAAACTACAAACATATTGTCACGTGGTTATCTTGAAAACATGTCATTTAAAACTGACAGAAGAAAAATGGAATCTTTGAGGGTTGGTTATGTAAATAAAAGCACAGATTTTTGAGCAATTTTGGTGGTTGTAGACTGAATATACTAATAGGAATAAAAATCTTGTTACATGTACATAAGAATTTACATAACAGATTACATAATGTCACATGACACTCTACCATTTATCAGTTTAAAGTACAATAAACTTTTTTATCCAATCTTTTCCCTTCACGTTCTATTATGTAATCCATTATGTATATTTTATATGTACAAGTAACAAAATCCTAAAAATAATAGGAATAAAGAGTTCAACCCATTGTGGAAGCAGAAAAGCTGTTTGAAGACCTATCACCTAATCTAGATTGTATTGTGAGACGGATCAAGACACATGTATACAAAGTTATGTTCTCTTTGTATCTGGATGTCTTGATTCATTTTGAATCTTTAGTGTCAGGTCATTGATTTTCATTGCACTTTTTTTATTTTTGTTTTACCCGGGTATGTCCGGAGTAGTTGTATGTTATATTGGCTTTTGATTCGCCCGGGAATGTCCGATGCACCTATATATGGAACATTTTTTTTATCAATGATACCGATCAAAAAAAAAAAAAAAAAGGAGAAAAGAAAAGTTGTTGGTCCAGGCTTGGGGACCAACTCAAATCCAGGGGCCCTTGATTTGAATTCTGTTGACACATAAAAATTCAGTCCAAATCGAACAGCCCAAGGAGTGAAGCCCAATTGGAAGATCCCCAAATCAGATAGCCCAAAGAACGAAACCCAATCGAACAAATCAAGATGAAGGCCCAAATAAGGAGGCCCAAGAACGCGGTAACGCCATCGCCCAAGTTTGCAAGTCGCCCAGAATCTGAGCGAATGAAGTGTCATACAGTCGCCCAGAGCTGTTACTCTATTCTCGCCCAAACCTTCAAGTCGCCCAAGGTCTTAACAAACATAAAGCGTCGTGGTTATCAAGAAGCGCAGTTATCAAAGCAGTTATTAAAGCAGCCCTATCACGTTCCACGATTCAAGGAACTCAATCGAAAGCGGTTGAACGATGAAGAGTAATGGCAGCAATTAAAAAAGACAGTTTTCATGACAAGTTGGCCATTACGAAGAAAGTGGGCAGTTATAGGACGATCAAGCAGTTTTTAGGACGGTTGATCACAAAGAGATCGTCCTTGAAGTATAAAAGGGAGAAAGGACATAGAAGCACAGGACCGAATCCAAAAAGTCTTGAACAGAGAACATGTAATTTTCATTTCCTTAGTTTTTAGACTTAAACACTTTTATTTCAGTAACTCGTGTGCTTGCACCCCTTGGAGGCACGTTGTTTTTAATTTCCAATTGTAAAATCATCGCCAATAAAAGAACACCCCTTTTTGGGACTTTGTCTCAAGAGGTTTGTCCCTTACACAATCGTCTGATCCTTTTTAATTGTTAGCAACTAACCCGCACGAAACAATTTGGCACGCCCAATGGGACAGTGGTGTTAGGTGTTGAAAGTACAGAAGAGGAAACAATATACCTCAGAGATCCGATAAGGAAGCAGCAAGTCAGGGAGGAATCCAGTCTGTGATCGAGCGATATGAGGAGCAGCATGCCTCTCCACGAACAGATGGACAGAATCAGAGCAGTAACAGTCGTTACGAACCAATGACGGAGTTGAGTCCTCGAACCATGCGTGCATTACTTGGAGAACTCACGCAAGACGTCGTTGAACAGGTAAATCTTCGAAGTATTCATAATATGGAAAGATTTACGCAAAATGGGAATGTACACTATGACAACATGGCCAAACAACTAAAGACGTTGAACGAAACAATGAATAAGTTAGTAGGCCAAATATGCCAACCGGCTATACCTCTTACAAATCACTTTCAAACTAGGACAATCGTGGGACATAATCCCTTGGTCCTAAATTCGAATCAAGGGGTAGAACCGCTTTCTGGTCCCTCTACTTCAAACCAAGGGGGTACTACAGTGCCAAATCAAAACAATGGTAGTGGTATGCCTAACTTGGGGGTAATCCAAACGTGAGAGATAATGTCCTAAACAATGAACATAATATTCCACGTGGTAATGAGGGATTAGATGTTCAGGCTAATGGTAATGGCCCTAATCATGGTAATTTTGTTGCCAATCAAGGACCAAACATCGGGCCTCATGCAAATCAACCGGTTAACCAACCTGTAGGAATTACATGTGACCCCAACGTCATGTTGAGGAATCAGATTATGAAAATCGTACAGGATCAGATGGCTTTTGGGGTGCGTCCCGTCATTAGGCCGACGTACACAAAGCCATATCCTGATTGGGTAGACCAAGCATATCCATGGTCTAGAGGGTACAAAGTGCCAGAATTCTCACTGTTTACCGGATTAGGAGAGGTGTCTACTATAGAACACATAGGGCGATTCACATTGCAAAGTGGTGATATAACCGATTACCATAAAATGAGGCTTTTCCCTAATTCGTTAACAGGAGTAGCTTTCTCCTGGTTCATCAACTTGCCAGCGAACTCTGTTCAAACATGGCAACAATTGAAACAGTTGTTTCACGCTCAGTTTTATAAAACTGAGTCTAAAGTCACTTTGGCTGATTTGACGAATCTACGTCAAACGCCAAACGAATGGGCAGAAATTTTTCTCCAAAGGTTCAAGACAGCAAGAAGCAAGTGTTTTGTACCTCTGCCCGAAAAAGAATTTGTCAAAATCGCTCAGGGCTGCTTGAGCTTTGATTTAAAGAAGAAATTTTAGGACAAGGAATTTCCTGACCTCTTCCAGTTGAGTGCGAATGTGATTAGGTATGAGCGACTGATAAGAGAGGAAGAACAAATGAAAAATTCTAGTAAAGGGACTTATTACAAAGACCCAAATTTTGACGTTCATACCATCGACGACGAGTCATACGATCAGGCCGAAATGTGTTTGGCCGAATTAGTCAAAGGGGATACATATTCTTGTCCCATAATGGCCAAGCCTAGACCATCGGGCAAAGATGAGCCCATAAAAGATGGAAACATAAAGGCTAAAACGTTCTCGTTCGACGTGACCAAAGCTGACCTTATATTCGATAAATTATATAGGGATAAGCAGATAAAGTTGAGCGATAAGCACAAATTGCCAAACCCTGAACAAATTAAGGGTCAAAAATAGTGTAAGTGGCATAATGCATGGTCACATTTGACTAACAATTGCTTGGTTTTCCGTCATGTATTGCAGGATGCCATTGAATCAGGACGAATTACGTTCGATGATAAGAAGAAGATGGCAGTGGACGAAAATCCTTTCCCACAGCCACTTGGAGTAAACATGGTAACATCTGGATTTAAAAACAAGTTGTCAAAATTCAAGTTGGTCGTAGATGATGGGGAAGAGGATCCTATACCACATCCCAGCGTCTTTAAACGAATTAAGGGAAAAGAACCAAAAAAGGACGAAGACGTCTTGTGTGCAAGGTGTAAAAGAGAAGTGAATGGAAATACGGAGAAACCAGGGACATGCGAGCATCCTCATCGCCCTACCTTCTTCCCAAACATTTAGCCTGGTAGAGGGCGAGGTACATTATTCTATAGAGGACCGCCTTTT